AGTGTAGAACTTTTCCCTTTCACAAAGTCATTAACACTCAACTGTTTTATAACTTTCCCTGAAGTGAGAAATGGGGAGTTGTTCTATAAATAGGTCTATTTCTAGCTAACACTTTCTGGTTTAGATATCGAATATTTTAAGTCTAATACATAGTATTATAACGATTTTTTGAAGAATCAAATAGAATAAAATGATGTTAGAACATCATTTCCAATGTTATCAGGAAGTTTCTATTTTAGCGGAAAATCTTAAATTTTATGCTTCGGAAAACTTGCTTATTCGTCTAAATAGCGTCAAATAACTAAATAAGTGAAAATAGCGCTGAAAAACCATGAAAATAACGATTTTTTAGCATTTGTTTACATTCTAGATTCTGATTGGTATAGTCGAATTTGAATCAATCTTTTCTGAAAAGACACTTATTCATCAACCTAATGTCATGCAAACTAGAAAAAACTAACCAGAGTTCAAAAAGAAATGTACAAAAAGTTATAACATCCAAAAATTTACAATATCTCTCCACAGACCAGTATTTCTCAACCGCTTGTTTAGTGGGGGAAAATCCCGTTAGGACGTGTCTGGATTAGCTCCGTGTTTCGATCGTCGCATCGGCGTGCCTATGGATTAATCCATGTAGTGAGTTACATCGTTGGATTCCTCTCGTTGAGTGCTTTTAAGTGGTGTATGGTTTTTTAGAATCCGTTTAGCCGTTTTTGTTTGGCAGCTTTCGGAAGTTTCGGGTTTTGGAACAACTTTCTCCGGCCCGTTTTCGCTTGCAGGTGGTCAACTTTTTTATCGTCAGGTAGGGGCTTTTTGCTCTTTTCAACGGTGCTTTCCGTTTTTGTCTGCGATAAGCCGTTTTCGTTTTTCGCGACGAACACTTTTCGTGTTTCGGGCCGACGTGCGGGCTTACCGGGCCACTAGTGCTACTCCTTTTCGGGTTTTTTTTTTTTTTTCGGGCGGTTTCTCTACCCACCCTTAATTTTTGGTCGCGTTAGTAAAAACTTTTTAGGAGTTTTGGCCATTTTAGGATCGGGTACGAACAAAGGAGTCAGAGGTCATTGACCTTAGCACGTGGCCGGGTCATCACCCCTACCTGACCCTATTTCGGCTGTGTTTTCGCCCGTTTTCTCGGGCTTCGGTGGCCGCTTTGTATGTTATCTTATATCGTTGGGCTTGTCCAAAATTCGCCATTTTTTCAGTGCTACGTTTTTTAATTATTTTTAGTTAAAAAAAAAAAAAATAATAAAATATAAATAAAAAAAAATAAATAATAAAATAAAAAATAAAAAAATAAAATCCAAATTTTTATTTTCGCTATATTTTTCGCGTAGTGTTGTATATCTGTCTTTAGGTTAGTTTATTTGTTATTTTAGCTATATTTAGTATAATTATTATTTATTGTTTTTACTTATTCATCAATCATTATTGCTTTTTGGCTCTCTTCTTACTTATTATTTTGGTCTTAATATCGCATCGTTTTTATTTGTTATAATGGATGCCACGTGCTCTTCGGGTGAATTACCCCACGAGGACTCTCCTCATTCCAGCCTCCCTGCCTCAGATCCCTCTGCTAGTGCTATCGATAGGGATTCTGCTGGCGATGCCAAAGAGAAAGACATCCTTCAGAACGCTAGTACTCAACTGAAGCACATCCTAGACTTGCTTCCCTACAAGTCCAACATACCGGTTGAAGAGCGCAAGGAAATAAAAGAATGTGTTGCGCAACTTTTTGGTGCTGTACACCAAATGTACGGAATGTTAACCGAGCTAAGAACAAGACAAGAAGCAAGTGTTGTCCACCAACACCAACATTGTCCAAACAACCAAACCAGTGTGCAACCAATGTATGCCGACATGGCTAAACTGGCTTGCAAGCCTAGCCAGACCACTAAATCTATCAACAGATCACTCGCCAACAGAGAAGGGAGTGGGAGTAGCTATGCCCTTATAGTTTACCCAAATCCTATGGATGGGGAAAGGGTTAATATGAAAGTAATAACAAAACAAATAATGGAGAAAATTGAGCCGCATAAAATTAAGGTAAACGTGAAGGCGGTCCGTGAAGTTAAAAACGACGGTGTCTGCTTTCGTGTAGGCAACAGGCAGGAAGGTGAAACGCTAGAGAAAGCAATAAAAGAAATTAAGGAAATCGAATCCAATGTGAGAACCAAAGTCTCAGAGGGAAGGAGCCCAAAACTTATACTGATAAATGTTCCCAACTCGGTGGAAGCCGACCGTGTTTTGCATATGCTGTATGATCAAAACCCCGCACTTGGGAAGATGGATAAAGACGAGTACGAATCTAATTGTAAGCTTACGCAGATTAATATCAGAGGTAAATCCAAGGAAAACTGCCGCCACTTGGTGATCAGTGTCTCACCCAAGATAAGGAAAGAACTCTTAAATTTAAATTATGTTGCTTTATCTTGGGCTCAGATTAAGGTGGATGACTTTCTGCCTCTGATTAGATGCTACAGGTGTTGCGGATTCCAACATTTAGCCAAAGACTGCCAAAAACATCAATCCTGCAGCCATTGTGGGGACGAACACAAGTACCAAGACTGTGCCAAAACACACAAACCTAAATGTGTTAACTGCGCCAAAGAAAACGAAAACCTGCCAAAGGGCAGAAAACTGAAAACGGACCACAATGCCTACAGCCCTCAATGCCCCACTGCCCAATTAATAAGACAGCAAATAATTAACCAGACCAATTATGGGACATAACTCCACCAATAATACTACCCGGTTAAACATCAACCACAATGTCAACAATTCCTCTCCCCTATGCATCCTTCAAATCAATACCCAGCGTGCGAAGGCAGCTAGTTCTCTAGCCCTCAAATCTGCAAACGACATGGGTGCGGACATTCTCCTGGTCCAAGAGCCTTATACCATACAGGATAAGATTGTTAGGTATGGCAGTTGGCAAATCCTTAGCAAATGCAATAATAATGAAAGGCCAAAATGTGGAATCATCGTTAGAAACAAGAATGTCAACATTACTCTGATTCCTGAGCTAAGCTCTTACAGAATCACTACCGCCGCCATCCACAATGAATCTATTGAATTCATTGTTAATATCTACTTCTCGCCATTCGACGACGATGATGATTGTATAGGTGAACTGCACAATGTCCTTCGTAAGCTTGGCGACAAAAAATACATTATCGCTGGTGACATAAATGCTAAGTCGGCACTATGGTTCAATGATGAAGAGGACAAACGAGGACGGCTGGTGCAAGATTTATTAAATGATATCGACGGTATCTCTCTAAACTCCTCAGACCTCCCCACATTCGAAACAAGCAGAGCAAAGGGCTGGACCGACGTCTGTCTGGCTCCAACCTCGGTAGGTGCTAGTATCATCAAGTGTGAAACTCTTCCAACTGTTACAGCCAGCGATCATAAGTATATCATCACAATTCTTGAGAAACCTGGGCACAGGGCCAGCTCTGATTCTGCCCACTATTGCAGAAATACAAACTGGGACCAGTTCAAGATTCTATTCGCAACCAATTGGCGGAAGTTTAACTTTCGCCCTTTGGATTCTGCCAACGACATTGATACCTATGTGTCGCATCTCACCACCTCTCTCAATGTGGCTGCCAGCCTCTCCTCTACAATGAAAGAACACAACTCCAATCGTACCCACTGGTGGAACCATGAACTTGATAACGAAAAGCGAAGTATACGCAAACTTAGGAAGCGTTGGATGAAAACTCATGACCACAACACCAAGGAGAATCTGCGAAAGGAATATTTTGGCAAACTTAAGCTATACAAAAGTAACATCAATAAAGCCAGAACCATGGCATGGCGCAAATTCTGTAACGAAGAAAGTAAAGATCCTTGGGGCAAACAGTATAAAATTATCTTTAGAAGCTCAATTAAGGCCACTATTCCCTACATCCTTAATAATAATATCACCTCCAATACCTACAACATCGAGGAAAACATCGCGAACCTTCTGAATTATCACTTTCCAGAAGACAACATCGACGACGATCTGGACCACCACCATCAGGTTAGGGCTACTATAGCAGAAGCCTACACAAGCAAGAAGGACAGATGGTTTTCATTCCAAGAGATTTGGAAATCCATAAGCTCAATGGCCAATAAGAAGGCCCCTGGGATTGACGGCATAACGGCCGAGTCTGTTAAGCACGCTTTCCAGGAAGTCCCTATCGCTTTTGTGCTTTTGTACAACGCCTGCCTCATCAATAACTACTTTCCTCGAAGCTGGAAGATTGCTAAAATCATTTTCATCCCTAAAATTAGCACGCCTACCTCTGAAGGTGACTACCGACCTATCAGCCTTCTTTCATCACTAGGCAAGGTTCTTGACGGCCTAATCATTAGCCGCATTAACTGGCACCTCGCCAGCAACAAGGCATTAAATAATAACCAATACGGCTTCAGGCCTGGTTATTCTTCGTTAACAGCCATTAACAACGTCGTGCAATTCGTTGGCAATGCTTGGAACAAAAACAATCATGCCCTATTAGTGAGCGTGGATTTCAAAAAAGCCTTCGACCACCTCTGGTGGCCCGCCATTCTTAAAAAGCTTAGGGATACGAACTGCCCTAGTAACATCTACTATCTCCTGGCTAACTACCTCACGGACAGGAAGGCCGGCTTCTTTTCTGGAGGTTTCAACGTAACAAAGGATGTAAACAGAGGTTGTCCCCAGGGTTCCCGGTGCGGGCCGGGACTTTGGAATATTGTCTACGATGAGCTCCTCAAGACGATATGTAACACTGAGGAGACACATATACAAGGTTTTGCCGATGACACCATCTTAATGATTCGGCACCAGAACCGTGATATCCTGCAACAGAAAGCAAATAAGACTCAACATTATTCGCGATTGGAGCGATCGGAATAAACTGCCAATTAATTACAGTAAATGCGAGGGCCTAGTTTGCACTAAGCGTTCCCGTCGCAAACAGTTACAAAGGCCCCTCTGTAGTTATCTGAAAGGGAAGAAAATAAAAATGAAACCTCATATTAAATACCTTGGGGTGCACATAGATCCAACCTTGAGTTGGAATTATCACATTGAAGAGACTTGTCACAAAATTAAGCAGAAAGCGAATATGATAAATCATATTGCTAGGAACACCTGGGGCCTTTCTGCCAAGCACTGCAGACTAATCTATAGTGGGGCAATCGAGCCCGCCCTGCTCTACGCGGCCGAAATCTGGGGCAAAAGAGTCAACATTATACATAATAAAAGGAAGCTACTGTCCATCCAAAGAGGTTTCGCCATTCGTATCTGTAGAGCATATCGGACAGCGCCAACCGACGCCCTTCTAACGATCGCCAACATGACTCCTATCAACATCAAAATTAAAACCAGAGTTTGGAAATGGCACCTTCTGCAAGACAATATTCAAGACCTCGATACTGAGAAAATACAGAACCTTGTCACGAATAACCACCTTCCCTCTGCCGAAATCGTCAACAAAATCAAGCTCCACGGCATTGACAGACATATCAGTACCTTTGCTACGCTCTGTCACCCTGCAAGTTCCACTAATGACATCATCAGCACCGTTTACAATCCCGAAGATCGCATAGCGGATTGGCACGTCTACACCGACGGCGCTAAGAACGACCTGGGCACCGGGTCTGCCTTTGTTATCTACAAGACTTCTACTAACAAAATCGTCCATGAAGAGTTCCACAAGCTTTGCACCCACTGCTCCAACAACCAAGCGGAGCTATGGGCTATGTGCAAGGCACTCGCCACTGTTACCAATCACTGTCGTAACTTCAAAGGTGGCATAACTTTCTTCACGGACAGCCGGTACGTACTCAGTGTCATCAGGGGCACCAGGAAGCTGACCGCCACTGGCATTAAGGTCTACCACCTTGCAATGAACTTAAGCCAACGGAAAAACATCTCTTTTAGATGGGTGCCTGGACACCACAACATTCCAGGCAACGAAAAGGCGGACAAGCTGGCCAAACGAGCCACAGAACTCCTAATAAGCCCGTCTTTCGGGCTAATACCGACCAGCTACATAAGCAACCATCTACATGAGAGAAGCACCGACCTCTGGGAAGGCGAGTGGAACAATTCAACAACTGGCCGAACGACGTTTAGTTTTCTGCCTTCTATTCACAAACGCCAGAGGTATAAGTACATCACACCATCATTCTACCTAACTCAATGCCTAACAGGGCATGGGAATATCCCATCCTACCTACATAGGATCGGGAGAAGAAGCAATGCTACGTGCCCCTGCGACAACTCCTCTGTCGGGGACTCGTTTCACATTCTTTTCGACTGCCCTCTCTACGAGCCTTACAGAAGTGACCTCATAAGCTTCTGCAACTCCCATGGACAATCGTGGCCGCCGAACTTAGACTATTTGTGCGCCCATAAGGATAGCTTTGACCACTTCCTGAAGTTTGTCAACTCTTGCAACGCATTTGCCAATGACTTTTCCACGCGATCAGATGACGAAGACCTCGCCAACTGACTCCTGAGAAGTGTCATCCTACGGCTTAAGGCATCAATGTAAACTCTGTACATATTTCTATGTTTTCTATTCGCTTGTCACATATTATACTTTGTTTTTATATATTTATTTGTATTATATTCTACATGTTTATGTTTATTGTACTAATTTCTTGTTTACTTACCCACGTCTCTGTTAAGTGCTTACATGCACTCCCCTCTCATGCCACAGTGCTCTGTATTGATCGTGCCGCGACGGCTTTGTAGCCATCATTTTGTCGTTGATCATCCGTAGGCAACTTTTCTTTTGTCATCTGGAAGCACATTGCCTCCTGTACTTTCGGCCTATCTCCGCCGCGAGTTGGTTTTGTTAAATTTACTCGAATTTCAACCCTGTTAAGTGCAAGCCGCACTCTTCAATGTAATTCCACAAATTTTGTAATACACTCCTAATTCTGGTTTCAAAACTGTATTCTTTCCGGCATCATGTAACTTACCTATAATTGTATACCTTTTTGCTTGTAAGGTGCAAACAGCACTATCTCTCATTCTGTAACCACTGTAAGCAATTGTAAAGTGCATCAAGCACTGGTCCATAGCGACCACCGTTCTGTACTCCCTTTTATTTTTATCTCTGTTAATAAACGCGATGCATGACGCCCATGGGATNTGCAATACATTCCTAATTTTGGTTTCAAAACTGTATTCTTTCCGGCATCATATCCCTTACCTATAATTGAATACTTTTTTGCTTGTAAGGTGCAAACAGCACTATCTCTCATTCTGTAACCACTGTAAGCAATTGTAAAGTGCATCAAGCACTGGTCCATAGCGACCACCGTTCTGTACTCCCTTTTATTTTTATCTCTGTTAATAAACGCGATGCATGACGCCCATGGGATACCCATTCTAACCTTCCTTCCTTCCCACATTCCTCAGACTTTTATCCCTACCCACTACACCCCTCCTTCCTTCCTTTCCAAATCAGGCTAAGTCGAAAGACAGCCTTCTGATCTTTAATTCAGTCTCAGTAAGAGACATTAACTGCAGGAGAGCAACCTGTTACGGACACGTTGGTACCAACATCAAAGTTATTGCTCTTTCTTAAACGACTATATATGCAACAGCACCAAAAAATGTCTTCCTAAGTTAACTTTCAGGAAGACTTTTTTGCTTTATTTTTCTTTTAGGAATGCTGTTAAAAGAGGTAGGACGAAAAACAAGATAATGCGTCGTCCTACGTCTCTGTCGCTCTGCATGAAAACGTGTTTCTAAAGGTGGCACGTTTTTACTGATTCCGACTTCCTTGTCGCTTTTGGAGAAAAACGAAAGTTTAAGAACTGCCTTTTTATATGGATAATCTACGGGACAGTATATCTGGCATAATGTATCTTCGAGGAAATTATGGAGGATGAAGAACAAAGATGAATAAGGTGTTTGCAGTTTAAGTAAGTCATAAGTGCGCTGCAAAGTATAATGCAGTAACTGGTCAATGACTGCATTTAGGAAAGCGATGTTTTATTTTATACCTGTAGACCCATTTAGAGTTTCTAAAAACGATACTCAGTTCATACTAACAAGCTGAGCTGAAGTCATTACAGACGAGCTGCAAGTTAAGCTATAAATTTTAAACGGATTTGAAAGCTGAGCATGAATGTGTTGCAGAAAAGTCCATTTCTAAAATTAAATTGCATCTACAATATGTATTTATTCTAATAAACAGCGCGTTGTGTATTAATTTTTTCAGATTGCATTAGAGAGCATTTGCTATTACAAAGCAGCTACTACTCATATTTTTTGTAGAAGGGATGTGATCGTTACTCTAAAGCTGGTTACTTTTATCACTGTTTTATTATATAAACAACAATTAACAATTCGCACCTTTTTTTTAACATAGGAAAAGCTGACAACGCTAAATATAAAATTCAATTAAAATAAAATGTTTTCGCGAGCAATAGATCTTGTAAACGTCAGGTAAAAAAATTTACAGAGAATCGAGCTAAACTATGAGCTAAACCACAACGCTGGATTCCGAATTTAAGACCTGAGTTGACTGTGAAAATTTTAAGCTGCAGCTCATTTGGTACAACTCTTTCTTTACTGTCTATATAGCCTAGCAGACGTCTCAGAGTAATCTATATATTTATTTTTAGTAAGAAATATTATTCCGTCTTAGAAATACAGTAAATAAAGTGCGTATTCAGAAAAAATTTCATACACGTTCTTGCAAATATTGGCAAGAGCATGCAAGAAATTTTCTATCTGCCCTGGCTTGCGGCAAAACGATATTATATGACGTGCTTCAAATAACATCATGCTCTACAACAACAAAATGTGTGGAAGCAATATTATAATTTTTCAGCCGTAGAGCAGACACTGGAGTACTTACATGCATATTGTGTTTTTTTCGGAGATATAGTGGATCATAAGGGCTATGATGTCCGTTTGTCCTGTACATACCTTATAATGAATCGATCAGAAATATTTTCAATAATTTGTATAAAATTTCTATATTGTAGAAACAGGCTTACTTTCTTATTGAATATATTTTATATAATTTTAAAATTTAATTAATAATAATTCATTTAATTTATAGAATGATTAAATCAGGAAGTTTCTAATTCAATCTAAAGAATTTTATGTATATAATACGTTATGAAAAAGTATGTAGACGGCATTTTAAACTTTTAAAATTATAACCTGAGTTAATAAATGTATATCGTTCTCATACTTATTTAAACAGAATTTAAAATTGATTATAAACTCATAAAAGTATAACTTGTTCAAATGTATTTTACCAGAAATGTTGTAACGCGAAGAGTAGCATTTCGTGAAGAGTTCTTCATTTATGTCTGAAATATAAAAATTCTCATTAATATTTATAAATAATTCTACTTAATATTAATATTATATAAATGTATTTTGCTTTTTATATTTATTATCAAATAAAATTATAGTTTAAAAACTATAAACACAATAGCTTAAATAAAATATGACAGAAATACAATTTTTAAAATTGAAATTATATTCTGAATATTTCGAATTTTTAACAAATTTGAACATTTTTATGAAAATTTGACAGGACGGATTACTTGAACGTAAAGTTGAGATAGCTGTCCTAGTTGGACTTAGCCATGTGAAAAGAGAAGGTTATAGAGGGATCTGTTAGGGGTAGAGTGGGGAATGGGAGGTAATGGGATAGAAGACGGGAAAAAGAGGTAGAAAGTGGAGGTAGAGTTTGGGATCACAATCCTGATTAGCATCGCACTTACAAAAGAAAACAGTAATTGGTGCAAACAACTTACAGATTGCCTTTCCGGCTAGACGGTTACAATAGTAAATACAGAACAAAGNGTTTGGGATCACAATCCTGATTAGCATCGCACTTACAAAAGAAAACAGTAATTGGTGCAAACAACTTACAGATTGCCTTTCCGGCTAGACGGTTACAATAGTAAATACAGAACAAAGTGTACTGTACATGGCAGTAGCCTGTCGCCACTGGTAATCCCGACCGAAAAATACTACACTAAAACACAGGTATTACACAGATAGAATGTTACATAAAGGACAATGTTATGTTAACAGAAGACCTTGGTGACAAGAGTCTGATCGGAGAGAAGCACAGAGAGTCACAGTGGCAATCTAAGTCCAGTACAAGAGATGCTACTCGTGACACCATGTGACACACCTACAGAGTGCAAGACCGTTGTTGCACAGAAGCAGGCAACGAAGACCAGTGGACAAATTCACCAGTCAACCGACCAAAATGATAGTGACGAGAGTTGCGATCGCACCGGCTGTCAGTAGAGAGTGTTGAAAGAAATGAGACAAAGGAATAGACAGGAAGGATTAAAAGAAAACAATAATCAACAACAAACAACTCCTACTCAGAAGACTTACGCTCAGGCCCTCTGCAACAGACCAAAACCAAGCAACACAACTAACTCGATAGCCCAAACAATCACTTCAAAAGTTCAAAACGAGGGTGACAGCGGGAGTTATGTGGTTTTAGTATATCCGAACACGGAGACAGATGAAAACGTAAACACAGATGAGATAGAGGAACAGATCCTGACTGAAGTCAAACCACAAGAGCTAGGGGTGGGAGTAAAAGGAGTGCGAAGAATAAACAGAGGAGGCATATGCATAAGGGTGAAAAATAACAAGGAAGGAGAGAAACTAAGGAAGGTTATAGAACAAATTCCACAAATAAATAATAAGATCAAATGTCATGTGGCTGGGGGACGCAGACCAAGAGTTATCTTGCTAAATATACCTTATGCAGTAGAAGAAGACCAACTTTTAGAAACTCTATACAGGCAAAATGACATCTGGGACAAAATCGGAAAAGAAGACTTCTTGGATAGTTGCAAAATAAGCACTGTTATTAGCAGAGGCAAAGTAAGAGAAAACTGCAGGCATTTTGTACTATCTATAACGCCTGAAATAAGAAGAAAAATTATAAGAACACAATATTTTTCAATATCTTGGGCCAACATTAAGGCTGATGATTTCATACCGATTATAAGATGCTTTCGTTGCTGCGGGTTCAATCACTTTGCAAGTAAATGTCAAGAGGATACGAGATGCAGTCATTGCACTAAAGCTCATAAACATACAGAGTGTCAGAATAAAAATAGTACACCATGTTGTATAAACTGCTGCAAATTCAACAGAAATCAACCTCCGAGTCGGAAAATTCCAACAAATCATAATGTGTTCAATCAAAATTGTGAAATACTACAGAGATTCAAAACAAGAAAAGTGCAATTAACAAATTATGGGGAGTAACCTTCACAATAACAATACTCAGACTGCCACCAATATACAGGATAAGATTAAAATAATTCAAATTAATGCACAACGTAGCAAGGCCGGTACTTGATAACTGTTTGTCACAAACAGTTATCAAGCGGATATACTGGCTATCCAAGAACCATATTGCTTTGACAGGAAAATTGCAATGTTTGGAAAGCTTCAGGTTATGAATAACGTCAACTCTAACGAAAACCCTAAAAC